TGATTCACTGATATCACACCAAAACATCATGTACATAAAAACAAGCTGTAGTATCATTTGATTTTTATACGAATAGATTTTTGTGAATCTTTTATAATATTTATTTTCATTATTTTATTATTGAGTTTCAATAGAAACAGATATGCACAGTGGGGGAGAATGTCATTAACCTAGTTTTGGCTATGTTCAAAGTGAGTATATTTTTATCTACCCATATCCGAATCTTCTTCATATTCATTTCAGTCGTATAAAATACCTCTTCCCAAATTGTTTCAAATAAATATAATGGCAGTATCATCGGCTACAAATGATATGCCCCTCAAAATCTCACACGTGATAGACTGTTAATTGATACAAGGAACGGTACTGGTCCCAACACTATTCCTTGGGAAATACCCATTTCAATTTTCAGAGTTGAATTGAGAGTTTCACCCACCTTGACCTTCTGAGATAAGTAATTTGATATTAGTTGTAAGAATTGTCCTCTGACACCATAATATTGAAGTGTTTGTAAAAACGTATCATGTGATAAGGATTCAAAAGCCTTGGTTAGGTCTTTAGAGGCTGCCATTTAATCGAGTCGTCCATGTCGTTGATAGTTTTATTGATAAAGTCACCAATTATATTCTCTGTACTGGATGAAACTAATGTCTTTCATTTATGACATTGAACCTTTCGAGGAAGCTAACGAGTCTATTTATGAGTGATTTTGGCAAAAATGTTCATTACTGAACTTTTTTTCGTCTTGTCTTGTTTGATGATAATGTATGATTTCATGTTCTATAAATTTCAATTGGAATGTTTTCTATTCTTTATAATGGACTGCAGAAAAATGCATACTTTTAATTTATAAATTGAATTGATGTCGAGTAAACATTTTGATTTATACAGAGTGGTCCAACGAAAAGTATGCACCTTGCTTTTCTCCTTTTTTTTGTAACTTAACGCAAAAATGCTCGGACAGGTCAATTTTGCTGTGCTGTGCCTTCAACCCCCTAGCGAGGGTGAGTAACAACCCTAAAATTTCAAATGGAAAGTGGGGTCGAGTGATATATCATTTGAAAGTGCACAAAATTATCTTTCCAATGTAACCTAATTTGTTGTATTTCACTCAAACATGTAGGTATTATGAAGAAAAACAACTACAACCCAGTACTTTGAAATGTGTAATTGACTTAGTAGAATCCTACTTCAGCAAGTGCTGAAAATGTGATCCGTTTGCTTCCATACAATAACATTCTGTAACATATCAGGTGTTATACTTCTGCACTCTGCTGTAATTCGTTGGCGAAGATCTNAACCGAACTGAATCAATGAACGTTTGCCTAAATTCTTTTTGTACACTTATCTGCTGTTGTTATTTGAACCAAAAAACGCACGAGAGAAATTGAGGAATGTAGTAGTGATAAAAATGCATTTTTATTAACACCAAAAATATCGAGTAAATGCCATTTTTCCGCATTTTTATTAACACCAAAAATATCGAGTAAATGTTCTTGCTTTTTTAATAACTATTCATGTAAATACAACAAATTAGGTATCATTGGAAAGAGAATTTTGTGCCATTTCAAGTGATATATCACTCGACCCCACTTTCCATTTAAAATTTTAGGGTTAATACTCACCCTCGCTAGGGGGTGGAAGGCACAGATAGAAAAATACATCTAAAATGTGTCCCCCTCAAAAGCAAAATTGACCTGTCCGAGCATTTTTGCGTTAAATTACAAAAAAAGGAGAAAAGCAAGGTGCATACTTTTCGTTGAACCACTCGATATAGACTTTCACTTGATTCTATGAAAAGTAAATGAAAAATGCATTTCAAGGCTTTATTTTGTAAACTCCTCAATGGCTTCATTGTTGTATTTGAAGCAATGAGGAGTGAAGAAGTAAATTCAGCTTTTGATGCTTCAAAAAAATAGTTTCTTATTTCATATAGAACCCCAATGATTGGGATTCGAATCACATCAAGCTGGATATTCCATGAAAAAATTTCATCTATATGTAAACCTAAAAACATAAGTTTCACAACCGGAGGTGTTAGAATCCAAAACCAATTTCATACCTTCAACTGTAGTATTAATATTGAAGTGGTTGCTACCGCACAAAGAAATAAATTCTCCGGTTCTGTCCAAATCTTCTTGTATTAAGTTTTGTTCGCTGTACAGGTCGGCGGGAACAATTAAAAGATAATCAAGAAATACGTTTTTGTTGTCCGGTTGCTGGAAAAAAGTTATTGTTAATAATGGGATAACTTTAAGCTCGCTCCTACCTTCAAAGTTATCATGAAATTTTCAGTGAGTGAGAATTTGTTATTATTATCTGCTTGTTCAATAACTGATCTGCATCCAGACTCTGAGGGACAGTGTTCCACAGGTACCTTCGCTTCGTAAAACTGACCATTTTGAATGATTACGTCTAGATCGAAAACTGAAATATAATACACATGTTATTTTATTGTTCCAGACAGTATAATTTCAATATTGGGAAAATATATAGCTTCTCATATAAAACTAAGACAGTAAGAAGGAAAAAATGTACAGCTGGTAATAATGTTGCCCTATTAACTGACATAGAAACATAAAAACATTCAACATTCATAAATTAGGATATTGGGTGGAAGTAGAATATCTCAAATATTTTTATGACGGCTATAGGAAATCTATACAGAGCTATTCACTGGATACTGTCCGTTTAGAAGACACCTGAACAAAATGGGGGGATCATTGTCAAACAATGAATGAAGAAAGAGAACCAGCTCATCAGATTTTTGTGAATGTCAGGCACAGGATCACAGCAGATTAATCAACTGATAAACAATATAAATTATATCCAGAAGAATATGATAAATATCCAACAAAAGGCCTATACCAGCTAGACCAGGGAACAAAATTGTTGGAATTTATGTAATTAAAGGATGACAGATGAAATGCAATAAGCCTATAAATAAGGCTTCAATGTTTCCCGAACACTTCATAATAATGGACAAGTCGGACGTCTCCAGAATATCAAAACGAACGTCCGCGATGAGAAAGAAATTACTAGCAGGCAGACAACGATCATAGACAACAAGAGTTGAACACCATCGAAACAACTCTACAAATGAATAACTACTCAGAAAAAAGTATAAAAGCAGCTTCCAAGACCACACGGAAACAACAAAAAACTCGAGAAACACCGGTCATAACAACCACACTACCATATATTGCAGGAACACCAGATAAAATCAGCAGAATTATTCGCCGACACAACATATCAACTTCATTCATACCAGAACGGATAATAAGGTCCATGCTTCGTAATCCCAAAGATCAGATACCACTGGAGTCAAAAGAAGTGTTTGAAGTATCATACCACGAGTGTGACAGGACTTACATCGGTCAGACCAACATACGCAAAGATGAACACAAACTAGCAGTGAAGGGAAAAGTCACCACGTCTTCTCTTTTCCAACACGTACTTCAGACAGGACATAACATCAATTTCGATAACACAAAAATAATAGCAAGCAATGAAATCTTTTACTCGCCAACAATCAGAGACGCTATCGAAATTGAAAAACGACCTAATAATATGAACAAGAGGGATGATGCGCAAAGATTACCATCAACATGGAGATCCATTTTATCGTTTCGCACAAGCCATCAGACCGCTCAACCCCAGAAGCAAAACTCGGCACATGACAATACAGGTACAATAACAGAGGCAGGAGAGGCAGCTCAAGTAATAAGACCCAAAACACGTAGTCGAGCAAACACAGGTAGGCAGCAACACAGGTAAAGGGAAACATCCATCCCTATAAATTGAGACATAGAGTTCGAACTAATCAGTCTGGTTGAAAAAACCAGACATCACCAGAAGATGGCACCAGAGACTTTGCCGAGACGCTATGAAAATAATCCTTATGGGGATAAAATACAACGAAGCGAAACCCGAGAAAAACAGCTCATCATACTTTATCCGTTTTCACGGACAGGAATATGTTGAAATTATTCTTCGGGTTTGTTCCGTGTGGTGTATTGTCATCCCCGATGGGAATGAATTTCGCAACGTTTCGACAAAATCACATTTGTTATCATTTGGCGATTATTTGTAAAGTGTTCGGAAGTCGTCTGACCCTACTCAGATGACTTCTTACTGTGCGGGTACAATGATGTTATTACATATATACCGTTCTTGATTACCTGAATTTGGTAATTGTGAAATTTGTGAAATTGAAAATCAAAAACGAATTGTCTGATGTGTTGAGGAGATATACATACGACCTAGAATAAAATTCGACAGAGTCACTCGTTTGTTGAGCAACAGGAGCTGAAATCAACGTGACCATCTACAGACCAGTTTCGGAGTATTACTCCTCGCTAGTGCGTGACAGATCTCACCAAGGCGGTAGGGACTAGACTGACGTTGAAGACAAGATTTGTTTTAATTATAATGAACATCTTATGAACAGAACCCCAAGCGATTGAAAAGCATTTCATATTCTAAAACTTTAAGATCGTAATAGGAAATAATATTTCAACATTCCTTAACTTCTCAAATGCAATTATTTTAATATATGATTACATATACCAGTGAAGTCCGTTTAATATAGGATTTTTTGTAGTTACGAAAACGTCTTGGAATATTGTACCATAAATAACTTTAACAACATATCAACAAATCACGTTGTTTTCTGGATCAGTAGTACTATTTACAAAAAATTATGAGGAATAGAAATGATATTCAGCTGAAATTTTGCATACGGGCATACTTTTGAAAAGATTTTTTGTGTAACTTTTTCGATTTTGTGTTGACTTAAAAAAAATTACAAGATAATGCGAATAACCTAGCTACTTTTTCCTGAGTTTACACCTAATTTGATGCAGACTCTGATCGTCACCCTGTATGATCTGGAACTGTCCATTATTTTCACTTTTATAATAAAGAAACAAATATTTTTTATAATCTTGAGGGCACTTGATAATATATATTTTCACTTGGGCGCAAAAAACTGAAGGACTCAATGAACTTATTTTCTCTCACCTGGAAATTGTGGTTGATAATAATGAACGATAAATGTATAATATCCAGGGAAAGGAACTCTGCCTTTCAGATCAATTGAGTTATATGAAGGATTCAGCCAAATATATGAACTCTCATTGTTTCCTTTAACTGGTGGTCGATTTTTTCCCAATTCACCTTCAATTTCTTGTTCAAATTGTATTTTTTTGGTTTCGGGTGGGTTACGGAAGGAAGATTTTATACACGTTCCATTCTTCCTTATACAAACCGGTTTAGGTTTGATAAAATCTAAAGACCATTCTTCATATGGAATTGCATATACAGCATGGATCCCAACGTTGGCATTGTCTCCCTGAAATTAGTAATATAAAAATATATATGACAAATATTGCATATCCAAGCGAATGTTAAGGTAAGGAAACTCAAATGAAAATCAAGTTTCTAAAAATTCATTCAGAAGATAGTTTTACTCTAAAGCAAACCATTCTTTACCTCATTCAGTTCTACTATATCGTCATAAAGCTCTGAATTCAGAAGATAGTTTTACTCTAAAGCAAACCATTCTTTACCTCATTCAGTTCTATTATATCGTCATAAAACTCTGAATGGCCTTATTATTGTGGTTTGAGAAGATAAAAGGGCAAACTGTAAGTATTTTAGTATGTGGAATGTTTGAAAATATATGTTAGTTTTATAAATTTGTGTTTTTTCTTCTTAATATTCGGCAGTACATTCGTCCCACTACTTGAGGGGGACTTTATATTCGACAAGTAGAATAAAGTAGTTTTTATATATTTTATAGAAAGCATCAGCTTATTTAAATTGAAGCAGATAGTTAATAGACAGACACGAAAACAAATAAAAAACAACGTATTCTTTAAAATTTTCGATTACACGTCGGTTTCTGACTTAAAGGAGGGGGGTTCAAGTTTTCGTTGGAATGCCCTGTATAATAGCTTCCTCAGGCATATTCTACTCATGTGTGTTCATACTCATGTGCGTATGTATTCATACCCGTGTATAGACATGCCTGAAGAAGCTTTCGTACGAGAATAGCGAAACATGATTTTCATCAAGTAAAGTCAGTCGAGCTGTTCCCATCAATAGAGAACCAATGTCAAGTTCAGAAAAATTTTCTTCATTAATTTAAGATGAAGGTGAACTAGACCCACGGTCATTAAAAGAGACTTGCAAAAAATTCAAACTGGGCATAGACAAGTATATAGTCCCATATTCCAATAGGAATTTTGGGCACACTTACCTTTCATATGGTTTCACTGTCAATGATTTATTTAAATGTGCTTTGAACCTAAGTAGATGAACAATGCATGTTCTGGCCCACTTCAAGGTCGCGCGTCGTTGGGAAGTATTTCAGTGAGAGACACTAGTGAGTGGGACAGAGAAACGTGCGATGTAATCGACGCAGAGAAGGATGGAATGAGTATCGTATAGATTCAAAGAGGGTGGGACTCCGCTCCACCCCTCGGGCCCACTTGTCACGAACCCAGGACGTCGGCGTGGTAGGCTTTGCCCTTAGCCTCGACACCAACGTGGAATATTAGAAGTAATTGCGAATTGTTGATATTTATAGCGGTTTTTTTGTCGGGATTGTCAAAATTGACTCATTCTCTATACTTAACCGCATTTTTTGATTTCCATAGAAAGTTAGGGAAATTGTAACGTCATTTCCTTGTAGAAGATAGGAAAATATACCTAGATTTGGTGAAGAATTGTTTCATATAAAGGTGTGTGTGAATTTCTACGATATATCTTTGAATCTCTACGATACTCATTCCATCCTTCTCTGCGTCGATTACTTCACACGTTCTCTCCCACCCACTAAAGTCTCTCTCTGAAATACTTCCCGACGACGCGCAACCTCGAAGTGGGCCAGAACATACATTGTTCATCTACTAACCTCAACATGTCTTCTCAGGGCACACGATTCTCGGATACAATGATCGCTTACTTCATGGTCGTGGGGTAGTTATTAGTAAACGATGTTCGCACGTCCTTGAAATGGGTTGGAGCTTAGGATAAAGGGCCTGACCAGCTATCCCTTTCAAGGTGAGATTCATGATATTCCTACAGATGGGGCTGATATCTGGCAAATTAACACCACCGTATACATCGCTGTTAAATCACTTCCCGAATCAGAAAGACTAAATCCCGACCTTGCGGATCGAAATAAAGAATGACGAGTACATCAGATGAAAGCTAAGATCAAGTCGGCGAGAAAATACGCGTCTCGTATCCAAAGCAAGAAACATTCTCGCTTGTTCCAATCCGTCGACTGCTGATCGGGTGAAATCCATTTATAAGGACATTTATGATACACCATAACCACTCAACCTAGACACTTTAGGTCTGTATCTGTATCTTTAGAGTAGGGAGGGTGAGTGAACACTCACAGCACTTAGGCCACATGTGACCCATTGTACATCCTCCGGAGAAGTTGTCCTCCTAGGTTATCGTCCATCTTTTCCAGCAAGGTGAACAGGTCACTAGGAGACATATCCTTTATATTGGCAGGTGTAGGCTAAGCTTCGCCGAACACACCCTCCCTTTGGCAACCTTGAGGTGTCTCACAGTGGCCTCCGTGAAGGTTTTGGAAGGTACATCGATATAAATGTCGTTGCGCGGCTTCTTCAACCTTCTTGGAGTTCCCTCCGTGGAGGTGCACAAGTGAGGGAGCTTTCCTACAGGGGTAGCCGGTTCCTTGCCTTTATTCAGGGCGGAGGAAGTGCCCTTGCTGTTGGAGGTGATCTGCTATGTCCAGCCTCATTCCAAGCGGTAGATTGGGCTGGACATTTCTGTTCATCCCCAGACACCGCCTTAGATTGAGATGAGACCTTCTATCCAGCCTCGGGATTGGTTTTTGTTGTTTCATTCGTGTGTGTTCCCACGAGTAGTAAGGGAAGAGCTGATCACCTCTGGCGTGGCCCCGCATTACCAGAGGTAGGCTGATTACAATGAGGTTTCGGCCAGTTCCCCAAGGGGATCGATCGTGACCGCATATCACCCTGCGGCCATTCAGCTGTCGGCACGATTCCTTACACCTTAGCTTGGGTAGGCTGGTCCACGGTGGCAAGTTTAGCAAAGGCTTCTGGGGAGTTTCAGTTCCCCTCACCCTACTTATTTCTGCCACTGACCAGGAGTCCGGCGACCCCTTCCGTAAGGCCACATTGGCTTTCCGGACAGGGCCTCCAGTCCCCTGGCCTTTCCCCTATCCGCCACCTGGTGACGCGCCGGGTAGGTAACCCAACCCACGGGACACCTTAGGCCTAGAGCAGTTCGAAGCTTTCTGTAGAGCTCCGACAGCTTGAGCTCAATGAAATGCGCAATCAGATAAGCCAGGATGACGTTGAGTGTTCGAAACGTGGTACTCCTAGCCCTGATAGGCTGAAAACCTATTGATGGGAAAAACCACCGACCACCCGCCGACAACTGGTCATAGTTTTAAACTCATGACTGGAGGGAAAGCAAACGATTCAAGTTGGTTTGTCGAGGGGCGAACCGTTCTCATCTCCAAAAACAGGGATTTGTTGTTTCCTAAAAATCACTGATTGATGACATGCTTGCAGTATAAGGTTAAAGATTCGTTTCCAGGATTATATCCCTTCTTAATTTAATTGTTGGAATTTGGACGATGGCTCAATCGCTGGCGATGAAAACAGCGTTCCAAAGGATTTAGAAAAAATCATTGATTATTTTGAAAAATGCGAGTTGATTACTCTTTCAACTCCGAATAATATTTCCGAATTCATTTTAAAATTGGCTCCTGGAATAAGAATTTTGGAAAAGTCTAAATGGAGTAATCTCGGTGCTCCTCTCTCTAAAAATTCACTTTCAGAATATCTTCGAGAAAAACGGGAATCACTCAAATTGATGACCACCAGATTGAATGAACTTCCAAAACACCTTGCATTTTTTCTTTTGTGAAAAATTGTTTGGCGATTCCAAAACTCATGTACGTCCAAAGATGTTCCCCACTTGGTCAAGTCAGTTAGAGCTTGACGAATTTGATAATTTACTCCGCAACACGACGGAATATGTTACTAACAATCATTTCAATAATGATTCATGGCTCCAAACAACGCTTCCTGTAAACCTTGGCAGACTAAGGCTACGTTCGGCTTCTTCCGTATCTTTACCAGCTTTTCTGTCATCAGTCAATAGTGTTTCTGATCTTATCGATTCCATCCTTCCTTCCATATTTATCAATTTCAACCGACCTCTTCTGAACATTACAACTGATAAACTTCTGAAATTTACAAGTGTATATGAAAAGGCTCGCCTGAAAGCAGCAACGATCAAGGAATCGGCTGCTTGGCTGAATGCTTTACCTGTTGCATCTCTTGGAACACTATTAGACGATGAATCTTTCAGAATAGCAGTAGGACTTAGGATGGGTTCATCTATTTGTGTGCCGCATACTTGTGTTTACTGTAGAGTAGTTGATGAAAAAGGTACACATGGTTTGAGTTGCGTTCACCAAGTGAACGACATATTGAAATGAGCTATGTTGTCAGCGGATGTTCCTGCAATCCTTAGGTACCAGTCGAGATGATGGTAAACGACCAGATGACATGTCTCTCATACCATGGAAATACGGTAAACCTGTGGTATGGGACTTTACTTGCGTTGACACGGTCGCGGCTTCCCATGTAGCCCGAAGTTCGAAGTCTGCTGGAACTGCAACATTGTCTGGCGAGAAATTGAAAAGAAAATAATACCAAAATCTTGGTGACAACTATATGTTCCATCCAGTAGCGGTTGAAACTTTTGGTGTTTATAGCCCGGAGTCTCTGTTATTCGTTCATGAACTCGGAAGGAGAATAAGCCAAGCAACGAAAGATCACCGTTCTACCTCTTTTGTACGGAACTGAAATCTCTTCGAAACAAGCCGGGATATGTGGATATTCATCAGTCTTCTATCAAGGTTAATTCACAAGTAATTGATCCACCTTCTTCTTTTTCAGTGCGGTCAGTGGACTCAGGTCATCCTTGCCCCCAACTATGAGTTGCAGTCCTCGTAGTTCTGGTTCCCTTTTAGTGGAAGAGCTTCATGAGGCAAGAGCCAAATCGATCCCTCTACGAAACCCTTCTTCACTTGGAAGGATCTATCGCAGCTTGAGAGATGTTTCTTATGGAAATTCTGTGAAACGTGTTCTTCCTTACGAATCAGTAGAGAGTTGTTCTGAAAATCTAGTGAAGAAAATTGGATTGGATAATTTAGGAAACACTTGCTACGTATATATGAATAGCATTTTACAAGTGTTCTTCATGACGAAGAATTTCAAGAACGAGGTTTTAATGATGAACAAGAACGGGAATGTTTCCTACTTATTCATCAAACTCAAACACCTGTACATGCAGCTACAGTTTCGTAAGAATGTATCATCTTTCCCTCCAACCGATTTCCTGGAGTCTTTGAAGTCCACTATATACTCGTAAGGACAATATGAGGATTGTTCCGAATTCTTGGGGTTCTTGTTGAATACTCTTCGTGAGCAAAACAATAGCAAAATCAATACTCCTGACCGCTATGGATTGAATGATTCCGTACACTCCATCTCGTCTTGTGTTTGTAAATATTTTGCTGGAAAAATCCGCACTTGTTTAGTTTGTAGTAAATGTTCAAGAAGTACCGAAAACTTATGTGAATTTCTGGAACTTCATCTAGCTTTTCCTAATATGACTAATAACCAGTCCGTGCAAAGCTCATTGTTAAATCATCTGGAAATGGAATTTTTAACAGGTGATGATCGACTGTATTGCCAAACATGCGCCAAAATAACTGACTATTATAAGGAAACAAGACAAGGAGGCAGTTTCCGTCACTTTTCCCCAAAGCATAGACCATTGGCACCATATCTTCCTCGGTTTTACCGAGCACCCTATATATTGTTTCTCAAAGTTGAGATTCCAAAAATTATCATAGTGATGTTGACTAACTAGTCCTAAAAAAATCCACTTAGTTGCTGTAGACATGCGGAAATAACTTGGCAATGCCGCAAATTCGAAAACAAAAATTCCTTAGAGAGCTAAAAAAAATATACTGGGTGTTCTATTTAAAAAATATAACTTTGGTAAGCCACGCTCGGCTGAGTCACCCAGAATGCGAGAAAATAATTCAAAAGGTAGTATTTATTGATATGACTGCAAAAAAATTGAGCAGTTCGAAAAATTTCAATGGACCGAAGGAATCTTGTTGACACACCCTAGCCTACAATATATTTTTTGATTTTTAAGTTGAATAAATGATAAATTGTCTAAACTCACCTTAAGAGTAAGTAAAACGAAATTTCCATCCACATTGTACGACCCAACACCCAACTTTTCATTGATAATTGCTTGACGACACATTGTTGAGTATGGACAGGAGTAGAGTTTGAGGTGACCATTTTTGATTCCTCCTTTAGTTTGAGTTTCCACTTGGATTTCATGGGTACGTAGATCACTAAGAGGGGTGATATAATCAAAAACAATCACATATTTTCCAGGTTTGTGAACACTTATGTTGAAAGTTATTTCTGGCTGTAGGGAATTCAGCAAAGGCACTCTGTTATTCACGTTGATGTTGTTCAAATGCTGAAAAAAATCAAAGATAATTTTACATAAAAAAATTGTATATTCTTACATTTTTGTCTTCAAACCACTGCTCTAATGGCTTTTTATTCTGTCCAAATCCACCGACGCCTAAAGACCTGTCATAAAAAGATACATTCGGATACTCGTAATGGCGGCACATATCTTTCTCATCCACACTACAAGCGTTTTCAACTTTTTGATTCAAAATAGTTGCCAAATAGAAGTCTTCCGGAAGTAGCACAAAATAATCCTGTAAAATAAAAAGATTAATTTTGGTGCTTTATAAATATACAGTAGTTACACAAATACAAATGAAAATGATAAAATAATATCATTCTATGAGATGTTTCAGTCTTACATCTGAATATTTCAATTTACATACTTCTATGTAAACAACGATTTATTTTACAACCGGCAACATCAAAACCGAGCTAGCAACCTATAACTTCGATACCATCTCCATCTCTCTTTGCGTCGATTACGTCATACGTGTCTCTCACTCTTACACATACATACATACACACCTTTATATGAAATATACGGAAATCAAAAAATTCGGTCAAGTATAATGAATGAATCAGTTTCGTTACCGACAAAATAACCGCTATAAATATCAACCAATCGCAATTACTTTCAATATTCCACGTTGGTGTCAAGGCTAAAAACAACGTCTATCACGCCGACGCCCTGAGTTCGATTCTCATTCCGATAAACTTTTTTAAGTAGGATCACGTGACTGTTACGTGACAAGGGTGCCCGAGGGGTGGGGCGAAGTCACAAGGGGGCCTGAGCTGTGATACGGAGTACTAAGGGGGCTCTGAAATACTTATCAACGAATCACGACCTTGAAGTTGGCCAGAATCAGTGTTCTTCATCTACTTGGAGTTCCGAGAGTCGAAAGGCTCAAATGTGACTTTACTAGGCAATCGTAGTTCGCTACGTTTGTCGCACTGGCTGCGATCTATTGAGATCACTGAGTAGATGAACAAAGAGACTTCTGGCCCACTTCAAGGTCGTGCGTCGTTGGTAAGTGTTTTAGAGAGACACTTTCGTGAGTGGAAGAGAGAAACGTGTGACGTAATCGATGCAGAGAAGGATGGAATGAGTATCGGAAAGATTCAAAGAGCGTGAGCCCCCTTGGGACTCCGCCTCATCGCTCAGGCTTTCACCCTGAGCCCCCTTGTCGCGCACCAGTCACGTGCTCATCGTCAGTGATCATCGGCAGCTAGGTGAAATTGAATAAAAAAACTTATGGATACGAGATTTGAACCTAGGAAGTCGGTGTGGTTAGACATTGTCCTTAGCCTCGATACCAACGTAAGATGTTTGATATGATTGCGAATTGTTGATATTTATAGCGATTGTTGGGTCGATGTATGTATGTGCGTATGCAATTTACTTTTAAACTTCATCACTAACTGAATACCGTTTTGAATTTGAATGTTTACGGCTCGACTAATCTAACGGACTAATAACAGATTTCTAGACATCTACTGCACATGTAGAGGGAGGGGCTTCTCACCGATCAAAACTCCGGTAGCTCTAACAAACATCTCCTCAATGAAATGCGTTTCACAAATCCTCATAATCACAATCTAATTATAGAGTTGAGAATTGATACTCACCAAAAAAATACTGTGGTTGACGTTGATGCTAACCGACCAACGACCAGGATTCATCACAAAAGGTTTTGGGGTATTTCCAGTTTCTCCAGATACAGTAACGAAAGCAGGCTGAGAGGTATTTCTGAACTGCACTTGAATGTACTGTTCAATATCATTGGGGTTATCAGGAATTATCCGTACTCCCCCGATAACTGTATAAGGATTTTGATTGACGAATCTGAACACCATTCGATACAAAGATGGTTTGGAAATGTATATATCCTGAGTGACATATCGTTGTAGAAGCGATGAAAATACCGCATAACCCTTCCATGAATAATTAGGGAAAACATATTCATCGTGGGCGTATCTAACACGGCTATTTTCTAGAGTTCGACCTTCTTCTACTTCGTACTGGTATTGATATAAGGTGGGAAAATAATGAGCTTGAAGAGGCTCCTTACAGGTACGACCAGTTACACGAGATTGACACAAGCATTGGCCAGTTGTTTTATGACAGATGTTGCTTACAGAACCACCTACATCGCATCCACAATCTGAAAAAGAAAAGGGGGGATAATGATTGTGTATGAATTAAAAGTATATTATTTATAATTACATAAATTGAATTATCTGTTTTTACACATATCTATCACATCGAGTCAATAACTAAACAAGAAAAACTATGCTGAGACGGCTAGGTTAAATGACTGAATGGTAGCGTCCTTTTTTGGTACCTACACATATTACCCAAAAGTTAATGGAATGGAGATCCTGTTTTCAGAAGGCTCTCAGTAGGTATATAGCGAAAATAGTGCCCAAGAGGAGCAACACAACAACCACGTTTAAAGAGGTGAAGTAACTTGAAACTAGACAAAAGTGACCGAATATTTGGAAGACATTTTTATGACCAATGGTTTACGTGGTGAAGTAGTTGAAAAATACATTCAGCTTACACAAATATTCATGCAACAAAATTGCTTTCAGCTCAACTGTTTCTACAGATAGCACGACACCATCGTAATGAGGAATATCTTTTTGGCTAAGGGGTCTCTCTAGTAGGGTAGAACAAGACTCTACATTCGGAAAAGTAGGATATTCGCTGTGATGCTGAGATTTTATTTGTAGGTCTTGGAAAATCCATTTGAAATATTCTCAGGAAGTTTATTCCACGTAAACGTAGCTCTCCAGATGAAAAACTTTTTAAACAGTGAAGTTCGAGGTGTACTGAGTCGAAACTCAAAACGATGAGCAGCAACAGTCCGTCGCGTATTTCTGATATGTACCGCTTTTGGTGGAATCAAATGTACCAAGTCCCTTGAACACCTCCCGTGAACGTATCTATGGAAGAGAGACAAATCTCCAACCTTTCTTCGATGTTCCAGACTACCAAGGTTGCACGTGATGTTCGCGTCTCCAATCAGGCAGATGGCTCTTTTCTGGATGAAATCTAGCAACTTCAGGGTATGTTTGGGGGCAGAGCTCCATACATGAGAACAATACTCCAAAGCAGGTCTGATCTGGGCTTAATGAAGCATCAAAAGTTGCTGAGGTGTGTACAGTTTTCTGGTTCGGAACAGTGTTCCAAGCTTTTGAGAAACAGCCTTTGCAATTCCAGCGACATGGTTGTGCCAAGACATATTGGTGTCCTTTTAACCCTCAACAAACTTATCGAAGCAGAAAGCGGAATCGTCTGACCTGACATTATTATATCCGGTTCGGAGATATTCATATTTTTAGAGAAAACCGATGCCTGGGTTTCTGTGGCAATGAATTGAACCTGGTTACTTTCACCCCAATAAGAAATCACTTCTAGATCTTCACTTAAAATATGCAAACTCCTGCTGCTGGTGAAGATGTGCCTCCGTAACAGATGTCCTAGAATCTAAATGGAATGACGAGACAAGTGTGCAGTCGTCAGCAAAGCACTATATTGGATTCTTGGTTTTTTTCCAATGAGTCATTGATATACAATAAAAAGAGGGTTGGAGACAATATGGATCCCTCGGGAACACTAGGAAACTGAAAAGCCATACACAGAAGTGATCCAACAAAATATAGCATCAAAGTTTGGCCAGCAAACTTTCATGCCACACACGGTCAAAGACCTTAGAAATATCAAGCGCATCAGCTCTTGATTCCCACTCCTCCAGTCCAGATGACGTATGCCTATTTGAATTTAGGAAATTTTGATAACAATTGAATTTGGGTACATTCAATTAACATTCACCAAAAATTTTAAAGAATAATTTAATTTCGGATCTCAAAGAAAAAATAACGAAATTATTTCATCCAGATTTTGTTAAAAACATTCATTGCTTTGCTTCGATGGAATCAATTCATTTCATGAATGATTTTCTATCTCACTTAGAACTGCCCCCCTTTCTGTGATTCATTTTTTTAACTTACTGTAATGGGAAATGTTCCTCAATTTGGGTTATTACAGCAAATGCAAGTTTGAACAAAATGAAGTTGAGTTTAATCATGAGTTTTTCAAAGTCATCTTGAAAAGTATTCAAATTGATGTTTCAAATGTTGGGTTTTCATTTATAAAGGGATTTGTTTCTAATTCACATATTGGCAACAGCGCCTATATCAAGCTGAAATAATTTATATGTACCTAGATATTCTACTTTAAAAAGGAAAATTATCTTTAGAAATCAACAATTGAGGCAAAATATAAATTATAGTTCAATACTACCTCCACAAGCCACATAAACAACAGTTGTTTTGTTATTTATTTCTCTAGAGAAAGATTGGTTAGGTGCACAAAATGTCATATGTCACAGAATGTCTCGGAACTTGAGTAAACAGAACAGCATGCCTCTGAAATATGTCATCTTTGTTTGTCTCATACAGGTAGCTATAACCGATGTTGCCAAATGGTGAAATAGAAACGAATCCCTTTAAATGTTGAATGCATTATTTCATTCCTCTTTTTTAAGTATTTAAATAATTTTTTAAAGGAAAAGGTTGAAATGATAATGTTTTAGAGCTCTTTTATGAAAACTACTTGATTTTCGTCAGGAGGGACATTGCCCATTATTATAAAAGATATGTAACATCCATTATAGACAATAATATGTACATGAATTGAGTAAATTGATTCATTATTTACGTCCGCACTGTATACTTATTATTTGACAGTGCATTAAAGAAAATAGTCACTTACCTGAACATCCAAATAAATCATCTTCCCTCAAACCATATGTACCATCAGCACACTCAGAGCAACCTCGTGCTATGACAGAAGGTTTACACACACACTGACCATCTTCAGTATCACAAATGCCAATTCCGCCAAGAATTCCGGTTCTATTGCATTTACATTCCTCGCATCCATCTGGGTTGTTAGGGTTGAGATTCCAAAAGAGAGGTTTGCATTTGTTACATATTCTGCCTTCCACCCTTTCTTTACACTGGCAGAGTTCACCAGCAGGTACTGATCCACAGCCAGCAAAGCCCGCTACTACACCAGCTGGATGGCAGTTACAATCTGAAAAGATTGACGATGAAGTATGTTGAGACTATGAGTACATTAATATTTTATGTTTATTTGAGTGGTGCTGCCACCTAGGATCATTAGTTGAGTGTTCATTCTGTGTATTGTATTTTGTAACTATACAGGGCATTTATTCTACCATGTGGTGACATTGCTATATTCTAAAACGTAACAGATACGAAGACGATTGAAATACGGACCTGTCTTTTTTATTACAGATATTGATGAAGCTATAAATTCACAATCAAAGGGTATATCACATTTGATATTTTCATAGCGTTTTACTTGAATTAACTACCATCATCAGTGACAACCATTTTAAATTACGGTCCTGTCGTTACTTCTTTTGTAAATTGTTTCGATTTCTTCATAATATAATTCAGACAATCCAATAAATTCGAAAGTGACGGTGGCCATGTTGACACGAAACGTTTTATCGAATATTTATTATTACATTGTCATAGTACAATTAGAATAAAATAACATTTTTCGTTTCCATTTTTTGATATTCTCCGAACTAACAATTCCATTCGAAAGAAAACGAAAAACAGCATTTTTTGTTTTCCCTGTTTAATTCGGGGACGAGAGTCCCCGTAAATTTTTTTCGACCATTGTATTGCTACTGATGACGGTTTTCTTTTTTCCCGTTTAATCGTCATCGTATCTGTTACGGTTCCGAATATAGCAATGTTACCACATACCTGTATAGTGTAAGATTGTTTTTTGGTTTCATGAGACGTTTTTCCAAAAGTCGTCGAGAAGGTCTATGAATTCAACATCCAACAGTAGTTGATGTTGTTAAATAAATATAATATTTATCATCAACGCCTCAATTATTCAACAAAGTATTAGTGAATTCAAAAATATTCAAGTAGTCCTTATAAAAAATATAAAAATTCATTATCATCTGCTTGTATATAAATCACGATGTGATAATATTACCATCCTCAGTACATAATCTGATACTTTTTATGTTTCCTTTTCTTGATTCATTCAATTATTCTATAGAAAAAAGTAGTTATCTATTCTGATTTTTTTTTCTACACAAACTGAAACTAAAGGAATTATTATGTTAAATAGTTTAGATTTCATTATGAGCAGAATGCAAATATTTGTCTATATTCTTGAGAGAATTCATAACGAGGATTAAAAAAATGTAAAACAATTCTGGATCTTCTCTAGAACTGCCAAAGTGTCGATGAATTACCAACCTAAGATCATTAAATGATAAGTACCGCCGATTTAGACCTGATGTAGCCTAAACAATATCCTACAAGATATGATGCAGTTTTGACTCTTTTTTTCTACTCTGTTTTTATTCTTTAATAAACTCTCATCGTGTACATTTCATGATTTTTAGAAAATGATCTACTGCATAACTATGTTCTATCTGGTAAACTGCCAACATATCTTTCCATACATTGGGCTCGAAATACTGGCCCCGGATCCGATAGATTTGAACGTTTCGTATAAAAGATACTATCTCAAGCCAGTTGAAAAAATAATTCACCACAACCATCGGGTACTCATTACCAGATGTGACATTAGTTTACTTATTTCCGCGGCAGTCCTAGAGAGAGAATTTAGTGAGTGGGACAGAGAAACGTGCGATGTAATCGACGCAGAGAAGGATGGAATGAGTATCGTATAGATTCAAAGAGGGTGGGAATCCGCTCCACCCCTCGGGCCCACTTGTCACGAACCCAGGATGTCGGCGTGGTAGGCTTTGTCCTTAGGGAAATTGTAACATCATTTCCTTGTAGAAGATAGGAAAATATACTCAGATTTGGGGAAGAATTGATGTTTCATATAAATGTGTGTGAGAATCTCTACGATATCTCTTTGAATCTCTACGATACTCATTCCATCCTTCTCTGCGTCGATTACATCACAAGTTTCTCTCTCCCACCCACTAAAGTCTCTCTCTGAAATACTTCCCAACGACATGCGACCTTGAAGTGGGCCAGAACATACACTGTTCATCTACTAACCTAAACATGTCTTCTCAGGGCACACGATTCTCGGATAAAATGATCGCTTACTTCACGGTTGTGGGGTAGTTATTAGTGAAAGATGTTGGCACGTCCTTGAAATGGGTTGGAGCTTAGGATAAAGGGCCTGACCAGCTATCCATTTCCATGTGAGATTCATGATATTCCTACAGATGGGGCTGATATCTGGTAAATTAACACCACCGTATACATCGCTGTTCAATCGCTTCCCGAATGTTAAGGACTAAATCCCGACCTTGCGGATCGAAATAATGAATGACGAGTACATCAGATGAAAGCTAAGATCAAGTTGGCGAGAAAATACGCGTCTCGTATCCAAAGCAAGAAACATTCTCGCTTGTTCCAATCCGTCGACTGCTGATCGGGTGGAATCCATTTATAAGGACATTTATGATACTCCATAACCACTCAACCTAGACACTTTAGGCCTGTATCTGTATCTTTAGAGTAGAGAGGGTGAGTGAAGACTCACAGCACTTAGGCCACATGTGACCAATTGTACATCCTCCGGAGAAGTTGTCCTCCTAGGTTGTCGTCCATCTTGTCTTTTCCAGGAAGGTGGACAGGTCGCTAGGAGACATCTCCTTTATATCGGCAGGTGTAGACTCGCCGAAAACACACTCCCTTTGGCAACCTTGAGGTGTCTCACAGTGGCCTCCGCGAAGGTTTTGGAAGGTACAGCGACATAAATGTCGTTGCGCGGCTTCTTCAACCTTTTTGGGGTTCCCTCCGTGAAGGTGCACAAGTGAGGGAGCTTTCCTGCAGGGGTAGCCGGTTCCTTGCCTTTATTCAGGGCGGAGCTCTTGGCGCCCGCCGCAGGAAGTGCCCTTGCTGTTGGAGATGATCTATTGATGGGAAAAACCACCGACCACCCGCCGACAACTGGTCATAGTTTTAAACTCATGACTGGACGGAAAGCAAACGATTTCAAGTTGGTTTGTCGAGGGGCGAACCGTTCTCATCTCCAAAAACAGGGATTCTTTGTTTCCTAAAAATCACTGATTGATGACATGCTTGCAGTTGCTGAATATTCCAAAGGATATACAGACGGCCAAACGGAGGCGTCGCGTCGCTGAATGTAAAGAGAACCTGTTCATCAATAGATGTGTAGTGCAGAACGCAATACAGTATAAGCGTAACCCCTCTATGGCCTAGATTGATTATTGCAAGATATTTGATACAACATTGCATCTACATAGAAATTTGCACCCCAAATAGTTCTCTCCAAGTTGTACTTCACCCCAACAGAGACGGCTGGACTTCTGAATTTGGAATATCTAGATAACAGAATGCTACTCGATGGAGTACTATACAGAGGACCATGATGATATCACCTGCACGTTCTCCGAATGAGTCGACCCGACCACCACAACCTTTTCGGTATAATAATGATAATAACATGTATAACTTCCAAAAATAATGACTGTTTATAAAATGAAAATTTTGAACAATCAAATGAACATACTTATCCACCTAAATATGGAATTCAAGATATGGTTAGAGATAATGAGTCTCATTTCCAACAATATCCACTATTCTGGTTTATACGGGGTGAGTCAACAAGATTCCCTCGGTCCATTGCTGTCAGGGAGAAACATTTTTCGAATTGCTCAATTTTTTTTGGCAGTCATATCGATGAATACTATCTTTCAAAATTATTTTCTCGTATACTGGGTGATTCAGCCGAGCGAGGCCAACCGAAGTTATATATTTTTAATTAGACCACCAAGTATATTAATACGTCATTCGATTCCATATTTCTTTTAGCTCTCTAAGGAATTTTTGTTTTCGAATTTCAATTGCGGCATTGTCAAGGTATTCCAGAAAAACCTATTTTGCAGACAATATTTTTTTAATTCACCTCCCGCATGTCTACAGCAGTTAAGTGGAATAGTTAGTCAACATCACTATGATAATTTCACGAATCTCAACTTTCGGAAATAACATTTTCCTGAATATAGACTTCAAAAACGCCTTCAACATGATTGATAGAAACATCATGCTACATAAGGTTAAAGATTCGTTTCCAGGATTATATCCCTTCTTAATTTAATTGTTGGAATTTGGACGATGGCTCAATCGCTGGCGATGAAAACAGTGTTTCAAAGGATTTAGAAAAAATCATTGATTATTCAAAACATCTTGGACTTGAACTAATTTTTGACTAAACAATATCCTACAAGATATGATGCAGTTTTGACCCTTTTTTCCTACTCTGTTTTTATTCTTTAATAAACTCTCATCGTGTACATTTCATGATTTTCGGAAATTGATCTACCGCATAACTATGTTCGATCTGGTAAACTGCCAACATATCTTTCCATACATTGGACTCGAAATACTGGCCCCGGATCCGATAGATTTGAACGTTTCGTATAAAAGGTACTATCTCAAGCCAGTTGAAAAAATAATTCACCACAACCATCGGGTACTCATTACCAGATGTGACATTAGTTTACTTATTTCCGCGACAGTCCTCTCAAATGCCACAACTTTCAGCTATATTCTTGAAAAAAATATAGTTCACAGCACCTTTACCATTCATCCATGTTTCGTCGACAGTAGTAAGTGATATGATTCAACTAGTAGTTGTTTGGTTTGTCTTGTATTATACTCATGAGTGGTTTTATTTCGTTGAAATTCAAAATTGAATAGTTGATGTTTTCTCCAACAGAATGAATGAAACAATATATTGTTAATTGAAAAATGAATTCGATATTCAAAAAATTACGTGGCATATACAGCGTGACTTACGGTCGATGGTAGGTTAGACGTTTCTGGAAAACGCAAAGCATGATTTTTCTGAAAATTTCACCTCTCACATTTCCTTACCTGTTCTATCGATCTAAAATATTTTCAGCATTGCGGCGTTGCCAC